AAGGATGTGGAACAATAGGAATTTTTTTTCATCACTTGGCAGATTACAAAGCTAAACAATCTTTAATAACCTGCAATCACACTTCTAGGTATTTATCCAACTGATTTGAAAACATGAATATGTTGATAACAGCTTTATTCATAATTGCTAAAAACTGGAAGCAGCCAACATGTCCTTTAGTGGATGAATGGATGAATAAATTTAGACATCCATACAATGGAATACTGTTGTTACATGCCGTCGAGTCAGATGTGACTCCTTGGGTTTTTGAGGTGGTATCATATGGAAGTAGATTGCCCAACTTTCCTTCCAAGGAGTGACTGGTGACCTTGAACTGCCAGCCTTCTGGTTAGCAGTCAAGTGCCTTAGGCACTAGTCAAGCAATGCCAAGATATGCGAAGAACAATGTAAAGATATGGATGACATCTAAATGCATACAGCTAAGTGAAAGAAGATAGATAATCTGAAAAGGTATGATTCCAACTATATGACTGTGGTAGTTAAATTTGTATGTCAGCTTGGCTGGGCCTGGTTGAGTGGCTGGGCAGCTGGTGGTATTTATTCCCCATGATGAGATTGGCAATCAGCTCCGTGGTGGGATCTACCACAAGCAGCTGAGTAGCTGCCTTTGTGATGTGGTCTGCTTCCTGTGTATAAGGAGAAGCCTTGGGGATAGTCTCTAACTTACGGCATGCTTGGACCCTGCATGTAGCTGTGTCGTTGTTCAGCAGCCTGCCGTGTTCTGCCGACCTGGGGACTTAAAATGGACTTGAATTAATGGCCTGCTATGTGGTTTGGTAACATTGGGACTGTGCCTTTTTACTTATCAACCTTGGGCTTGGCAGCCTCAGCAGGCAGCAGCTGTCTGAGTGAAGAAAAGCCTTTAGCTTCAGTGGGCTGGGAGCTGGAGGCAGAGCTGAAGCCGATGGCTGAGGGGCTTTCACCCAGACCCTAGAATCTGGCACTTTGAATTTGGACTTAAAGCCTCCAAATTGTGAGAGAATAAACTCCTGTTTCTTAAGGCCATCTCATTTGTGGTATATTCTTGTCAGAGAGGCACTGGGTAACCAGAACAATGACTTTCTGGGAAAGATAAAATTATAGACAATATGATGATTATTGTTTGCCTGGGTTTTGGAGGGGGATAAAGGCAACGATGAGAGGATTTTTTTGGATAGTGAAACCTGTATGATATCATAATAGGAGATACATGACATCATGCATTTGTCAAAACCTGTAGAACTTTTATATCATTATATCACATGCAAGTAAAATTATGCTGAAAATAATTCAAAAACAGTTGCAGTAGTACATTGACAAGGAATTGCCAGAAATTCAAGTTGGATTCAGAAGAAAACATGGAATGAGGGATATCACTGTTAATGTAAGATGGAACTTGACTGAAAGCAAAGAATTCCAGAAAGATGTTTGCCTATGTTTTATTGACTATGCAAAGGCATTCAACTGTGTGGGTCATAATAAATTATGGATAACTTTGAGAAGAATAGGAGTTTCAGAACACTTAATTGTGGTCGTGAGAAACCTGTACATAGACCAAGAGACAGTCATTCAAACAGAACAAGGGGATACCACATGCTTTAAAATCAGAAAAGGTGTGCATCATGGTTGTGTCCTTTCACCATAATTATTCAATCTGTATGCTGAATTTAGTTTTTTGTTTGGTATGCTGAGCAAATAATCTGAGAAGTTGTACTAGATGGAAAAGAATGCAGCATTAGGATTGGAAGAAGACTCATTAACAACCTGAGATATGTAGGTGACACAGCCTTGGTTGCTGAAAGTAAAGGTGACTTGAAGCACTTACTGATAAAGGTGAAAGGCTACAGCCTACAGATGGATTACGCTTCAACATAGAGAAAACAAAAAACCTTATTGTAGGACCTGTAAACACCATCATGATAAATGGAGAAAAGTTGTCAAGGATTTCATTTTACTTGTATCCACTATCTGTGCCCACAGAAGTGTTGTTGTTAGGTGCCGTCAAGTCGTTTCCAACTCATAGCGACCCCACGCACAGCAGAATGAAACACCGCCTGATCCCGCACCAGCTCCATGATCCTTGCTATACTTGAGCCCATTGTTGCAGCCACTGTGTCAATCCATCTCGTTGAAGGCTTTCCCCTCTTTGGTCAACCCTCCACCTTACCAAGCATGACATCCTTCTCCAGGGAATGGTCCCTTCTGATAATATGTTCCAAGTATGTTAGATGAAGTCTGGCCATTCTTGCTTCCAAGGAGCATTCTGGCTGCACTTCCTTCAGGACAGATCTGTTAGTTCTTTTAACAGTCCATGGTACTTTCAGCATTCTCCGCCAGCACCACAACTCAAAAGCATCAACTCTTCTTCGGTCTTCTTTATTCATTGTCCAGCTCTCACATGCATATGAGGCGATTGGAAATATCATAGCTTGTGTTGGGTGCACCTTAGTCCTCAAGGAGACATCCTTGCTCCTTAGCACTTGAAAGAGTTCCTTCACGGCTGACCTGCCCAGTGCTACATGTCATCTAATGTCCTGACTTGCTGCTTCCATTGGCATCGATTGTAGAACCAAGCAATGTGAATTCTTTGACAACCTCAATCTTTTCTCCATTTATCGTGATGCTGCTTATTGGTCCAGTTGTGAGGATTTTTGTTTTCTTTATATTGAGGCGTAATCCATACTGCAGACTGTATTCTTCAACCTTCCTCAGTAAGTGCCTCAAGTCATCCTCATTTTCTGCAAGCAAGCAAAGTTGTATTGTCACTGTATTGCATGTTGTTAATGATTCTTCCTCCAATCCTGATGCCACATTTTTCTTCATATAGTCCAGCTTCTCAGATTATTTGCTCAGCATAGAGATTGCATAAGTGTGGTGAAAGGCTACAACCCTGACACACTCCCTTCTTGATTTTAAACTATGCAGTGTCCCCTTGTTCTTTTTGAACGACAGCTTCCTGGTAAATGTACAGGTTCCTCATGAGTTCTCTGTCAATATACTGCTACAACTGTTTTTGAATTGTCTTCAGTAAGATCTTACTTGTGTGCAAAAGCAATGATATTGTTCGATAATTTCCACATTCTGTGGGATCACCTTTCTTTGGAATGGGTACAAATATGGATCTCTTCCAGTCAGTTGGCCAGGTAGCTGTCTTCCACATCTCTTGGCATAACCGAGTGAGTGCCTCCAGTGGGGCATCTGTTTGTTGAAATATCTCAGTGGGTGTTCTGTCAATCCCTGGAGACTTGTTCTTCGCCAATTCCTTCCTTGCAGCTTCTTCTTCCTCCTTCAGTACCTTTTGTTCTAGATCATATGCCACTTCCTGAAATGGATGAAGATCGACCAGTTCTTTTTGGTATAGTGACTCTTATGTATTCTTTCCATCTTTTATTGATGTTTCCTACATCATTCAATATTTTGCCCCTAGAATCTTCCAGTATTGCAACTCGAGGCTTAAATTTTTTCCTCTGTTCTTTCAGCTTGAGAAATGTCGAGCGTATTCTTCCCTTTTGGTTTTCTAACTCCAAGTCTTTATACATTTCATTATAGTAATTGGCTTTGTCTTCTTGAGCTGCTTTTTGAAATATTTGTTTCAGCTCTTTTATCATTTGCTTTAGCTGCTCTCCTCTCAAGGGCAAGTTTCAGAGTCTCTTTTGTCATCCATTTTGGTCTTCTCTTCTTTTCTCGTCTTTTTAGTGACCTTTTGCTTTCTTCATGGATGGTGTTCTTGATGTCATCCCACAATTCTTCTGGTTTTTGGTCATTGGTGTTCAATGCATCAAATCTATTCTTTAGATGGTCTCTACATTCAGGAGGGATATATTCAAGATCATATTTTGGCTCTCCTGGACTTGTTTTAATTGTCTTTAATTTCAAGTTGAACTTGCATATGAGCAGTTGATGGTCTGTTCCACAATCAGCTCCTGGCCTGGTTTTGGCTGAAGATACTGAGCTTTTCCATTGCCTCTTGCCACAGATATAGTCAGTCTGATTCCTGTGTTTTCTATCTGTCAGAGTCCACCTGTACTGCCTCCATTTGTGTTGTTGAGAAAAGGTATTTGCAATGAATAAGTCATTGGTCTTGCAAAATTCTACCATGCGATTTCCAGCAGTATTTCTGTCACCAAGGCCAAGTTTTCCAACTACAGGTGATTCTTCTTTGTTTCCAACTTTTGGATTCCAGTCATCAGTGATAATTGACACATCCTGATTGCATGTTTGGTCAATTTCAGACTGCAGAATTTGATAAAAATCTTCAATTTCCCTATCTTTGGCTTTGGTGCTTGGTGCATAAATTTGAATAATAGTAGTATTAATGGATCTTTCTTGTAGGCGTATGGATATTATCCTGTCACTCACAGCATTGTACTTCAGGACAGACCTTGAAACATCCTTTGTGATGATGAATGTCATGCCATTCCTCTTCAATTTGTCATTCCCAGCATAGTAGATCATATGGTTGTCTGATTTAAAATGCCCAAAACCCATCCATTTCAGCTCACTAATGCCTAGGATATCAATCTTTATGTGTTCCATTTCATTTTTGACAATTTCTAATTTTAAAACTTTTTTTTTTTGTTTGTTTTTGATCATAGATGTTTGGTTACATTTGTTTCATTGTGATCTCAATAACATTGCAATCAATGATACTATCACCTGCTTTTGTTGATTTAGTGACTGTGAAATGATCTTTAAAATTTGCATCTTCAAATTTGTGTAGCTTTTATTGGTATCTTCCTTTCCCAGGCATTTTTTATGTACATTTCTCTCATCTATTATTTTCATCAGTTTACTGATGAGCATACAGGCTTGGAGAGGGCTACCCGATATTACACATCTACTGAAGGGGTGAAATGGAGTTTGTAGCCTCCTGTTTCTGGTGTTTTTAACTTTACACTTAAAGCATCTTAACAGTGTTGCATATTTTTCCATAGTTATTTTTAAGTGGTTGTATTTTCCCATGTGAGTGATCTGGTCATGCCCTTTGCTTTCCTTCCCAGGAATATGAGCAAGAGCATAAACTGGAGGTTGCTGCCCTGGCTCATCAACACGAAGATGAGACTGCACGGCTGCAGGCAGAGCTCCAGCAGGTGGCTGCAGCCCATGAAGCAGAGATACAGCGGGTGCAGCTTCAGACCCAGGTAGCATGGTGCCTGCCACCTAGTTAATCCCTCTTGCAAGACCTAAGACACTCTAGCTCCTGTTCATGCAGTGTGCTCTGTCCCTTATATTTGAAATGGTCCCATCTCTGAAGACATAGTGGGGTTTGTTTTGGGAATTGGGAGGGTACCAGCTAGGAGGGATTTGTCTAAAGTGGGCAGGTGTGTTCTGTGGGCGTGTGGGGGTGGTACAGAGTGTTATTAAGGAGACAAAACTGTGTGCCCCCCCCCCCCCCGCCCAAGCCATGATACCAGGCTCCACCTAGCTGGGCTGTAGGTTGGGTAGTCACCAGCCCACCGATGTGTCTCACTTCTTAGACGGTACACGCCCTTGAGCTAGAAGCTCTGCGCTTGAGCCTGAGCAACATGCACACAGCACAGCTGGAACTGATGCAGGCCAACCTGCAGAAGGAGAAGGAGGCGGCGCTGACTGAGCTGCGTGAGATGCTCAATGGACGGCATGCCCAGGAGCTGGCCCTGGTGCAGAACCGGCAGCAAAGCACGCTAGAGCTCATCCGGGAGCAATGTGAGCGAGAGAGGGAGGCGCTGGCACTCCAGTGTGGGCAGGAGGCAGGTATGACACTCCTCCAGTCACACTTCTTGTCAAAGTCTACATGCACATTCTTCTAAAGTACAGATTTCTGTTTGTCTTTTTGGGAAGCAGATCATTATATACTGTGAATCCTACCATGTAAAGGGTTTACCAACATATTTCTGTGCTGGACCGACCTTCACACAGGTGATGCGGTTCCTGTGCCCTGGGAGCTGCGTGTAGACTGCTCTGGCACTCCTTATGTCCCTGGGCCTCAATCATGATTGTGTGTATGCATTAGCTCTGGTCCAGTGGGCATGGATGTGTTTCACTTGCACTGCTGTGGGACTTCCTTCTGTTGAGACCTCTGGTAGTCCTGTGTTAATGTTTGAAACCTTGCCCTTGGAAGCTGATTGGATCCTGTGCTGAAGTTTTTTCTGTTTCCATTTTTAAATAAGACTCGAAAGTTCAGCTTTACCAAGCCCGACCCACACTGTTTCTGGCACTTGGGACACTGGGTAGAGTGGGGCCACCATACAGTTCATCCATTTAAAATGTGCAGTTCAGTAATATTCAGTATATTCACAGATCTGTGCATCTGTCTCCACTACTTAATTTAGAACATTTTCCTTGCCCTGTGAAGAACACTGTGCCCGTTAGCTGTCACCCCACTTCCCAGCAGGGTGTTAGGCTGGCTTCTCTGCTTGCCTGTTCAGCTTTTATCTCATAAAGAGAAGCCACATGCCTGCTGTGGGGATGCTGACAAGCTGTACCCTTGCTTTGGCCCACCCCCCAGCTCCCCTCCCCCAGAGGTGACCACTTCACTTTACTTCTTGTACTGCAAGTTATGCATGTAGATTCAAGAAAAGACACATCTGTTTTTATTCCCCCCCCCCTTTTTTTTTTTTTTTAAAGAAAATAGAAAACACTTTTTCCATGTGCTCTTTCAGTGCTTTCACCATGTAAAATCCTGGACATTTAGAGCCTGTAAAGGGGCACAAGTTTCACCAGCTGCTCTGGGTGGGTGCTGGGGGCTTCAGTCTCTGGACAGCAGACTCCTCCTTCTGATTTTTGGAGTGAGAGCAGGTGTCTCACAGGACTGTTCCTCTAGGGGGTGCCGCATCTGTCCTCTATCCTGTGCTTGCCCAGGCTGGCTGCACCTCTCTCAGGCCCTCTCTATCCTTTACTGTGCCACCTTATGTTTATACCTGCTGACTGGGCCACTATAGGTGTGCATCTTGACCCTCTGCTCCATGCCCATCCTTTCCCACTAACCACTCCATCACCTTGCACTTGGTGGGGCTCTGCAGTGCCATGGAACATTTGTGCTAGTGTCCTTCTGCTTTCTCCCTCTTGAGTGAGGAGTTTCTGCATCCTAGAAATGTCTGTACCTGTCCCAACTCCAGTCCTTGGTGTGCAGTCTGGCCCAGAGTAGGCACTAGACACAAGATGAGTGCTGTGTCCCCAGTGGCCAGTGGTCCCTGTGACCTGGTAATTGGGAGAAGACCTGCCTCCTTAATTAGGTGGATGTGCATGACTGGATCCTCCTTCTCTCTTACCACCTGGACTCAGTGTGTTGTAAAAGCCAGATATTGCTGCAGTCTATTTCATCAGAGATGCTGCCCTGTGAGCAGCGAGTGGATAGTGGAATCTGTCCCCAGTGACTGAGTGTGGGGCAGCTGGACACTGCCTGCTCTGAACCACTTATGTGTTTTCATTACAGCTGAACTGAAGGAGAAGCTAGAATCAGAAATGGAGAAAAACATCCAGATAATTGAGGTACACTGTGATTGATCAGGAAACAATTCTATGTATATTCTTCCTTTTTTCTCCATCCCTCCCAACTCACCAGCCCCAAAAAAACCGTCAATCAAAATCCAGTGAAAGTTTTGACGGAGTGTGCTGGTAACAAATGCATCGTATTTTCTTTAGAGACAAAGCTCTCTTTTATTTGCACAGTTTGTATTTGTCAGAAGAGCTTTTTTTTTCCCCATTTAATGTTGACTTCTCATGAAAGGTGAAGGTGCCTGCCCCTTCCCTGGCTCTTGTCTGAGAGGCCCTGTAGTTTTCACACTGCACTCCAGTGCATGCGGGGTGTGAACACTGACCATGTGTGTTGGGCACCAGCAACACTCTAGGGGAGTGCCAGTGGGTGACAGTGTCAGGGTACAGGGCTAAGGGAAAAGGACAATGATGAGGGCAAATTGATTTGATGGAGTGAGCCCACCTAGTGCCAGATGATGGGATAGAGACAGAGTTGGGAACTCAGGACATGTTGATGTCGTGTGATATGATGTTGGCCTGCAGGGCCTTTGCCAGATTGACACTGTCTACAGTATCTTTGGGAGCTCTGGTGGCATAGTGCCTAAGGCATTTGACTGCTAACCAGAAGGCTGGTGGCTTAAACCCACCAGCCACTCTTTGGAAGGAAGGTTGGGCAATCTACTTCCACAGTGATACTGCCTCAGAAACCCAAGGAGGGGTCGCTATGAGTCGGATCTGGCTCCACGGCAGTGGTTGCGTTTTTTTGCGTTTACAGCATCTTCATGATGGTCCTTCTCCTACAGCCTACATCCTTTGTGGGGAGAGTGGGGAGAAATCCTGTTTCATAAAGCACTAGAATGCATGTGTTTCTTAGGATGTTTCTTTACCTCCCCATCCCTCTCTCAAGGCAGCTTGGTAGGGAGACTTGGGTGGTAGTGCTGGCACCAATGTTGTGCACTCTGGAGGGAAGCTGTGGGCAGCTGTGGGCACCAGCTCCCGAGGATCATACTTGTCAGGCTGTCTTTGTTACTTTTGCCAGGCAGGTGGCGTAGGATGTATCAACTCCACCCTTTAGCCTGCCATGGGTCCTTCCCTTGGGCCTTCATCTGCACAGGGCCCCAAGACTATGCTGGCCAGGTGAAGAGTCCTCAGTCTGCTGTATGGCTTGTCTTTGTCTTCAGAGACTGCTCTGTTTCTGGAAGAGGCATATCATTTTGCGCTTTCTTTACTGTCTGCCTTTCAGTGGCTTCTGTTTTGGCTACTTTTTGCCAGTGGGGATTGATTAGACCATGGGGCCCTCTTCCAAGTAACATTTAGTCTAGGGAGGGGGGTGCCTATGTAATGTTTCTTTGCCACAGGTAATACACCACTGACCATGTTTACATTTTCCTTTTCTTTATTTACATTAGACTCTGAAGCGAGATTGGGAGTCAGAGAGAGACTTGTGCTTAGAAAATCTACGCAAAGAATTATCTGAAAAGCACCAGTCAGAATTGGAGAATTTACAGAATCAGTTTAAGAAGGAGCTGGCCAAGCAGAAAGCAGAGCTGGAGAAGATTTTTCAAGCCAAAAATCAGGCCGAATGTGAGCATCTGATTAAAATGAGCAGGTTGGGAGGGGCTGGGTCCTCCTGGGGGATACTGGGATAGATGTCAGGAAACCACTGGTTTTCGGTCATACGTGCTTTCTGAAGTGGGTTTTTAAATATCTGATGACTGTATGTGACATCAGGTGAGAAGGGTTGGAGGTGGATGAAGATGAGGGCACAGAGCCAGGAGTGGAGGCTGCCCTTCATTGACTGGGCCCTCTGGGCGTAGTCCTCACACGGACCTAAAACCTTTCTGAAACCTTTATTTCAGAGGTGTTTTTTTGCTTGTTCAATGATTAGATTACCCATTGCTGTGGAGAAAATTCTGACTCACAGCATCGCTATAAAACAGAGTAGAGCTGCCTCTTTATAGGTTTCCAAGACTATAAATCTTTATGGAAGCAGACTGCCATATCTCCCTGCATTCAAACTTCCAACTGTTTCTGGTGGCAGCTGTAAAAAGGGCATGAAGGTGGCATCTTCTGACCTCCTGCAACTTCACAAGAGGGAGACAGAATCACCATTAACAACCCAGGACTTACTCCTGTGAGACCAACCAGACGTGCTGCCACCCCCAGTGTTTTTCACCAATTCTGACATCAGCTATCCCTCCCAGGGTACCCACTATTTCTCTGTTGGGTTCAATAATTCATTGCAGTGCTTACACAGAATTCACAAACAATACTCACAATTATGGGGTTTATTAGAGAAGTAACAGGTTATAATTCAAGTTCAAGAATGCTGTCAGGATACAGTTCTTCAGTCAGGACACTCTCCCCTCTGCCATGCCCTCGGTTGTGCCTCTCTGGCTCTTGGCCTCTCAACCTGGCCTCTGCCCTGCTCAGGCAAAGTTTTTTTAGCTCTGCTGATAGGTACATCTATGAGCTGCCCACTTTGCCAGCAAGCCTCCTACCCAAGGGCACTCAACTTTCTCTCTCCATGGGCCAGAAAGCCCACTGCTCTGTCTTGTGCTCTGGGTTCCATTGCTGCCATCTCTCAGCCAGGCATCTCTGCTGGGGTGTCTCTGCCAAGGAGGTACAGTGCAGGGATCTCAGGTCTGAGGATATGCTCTGCTTCACCTCCAGCTCTTTTCTCCTGATGTCTCTAGGAAGGCTTATTTTAAGCCCAGCAGCATAGCAAAGCTAACCAATCCTCACATTAGAGTTCTGTACACCTTGTTGGCAAGTTCCCACCCAGTAATCTGGTGGGAGTTATAAAAACTGTGGCTGGAAAATCCATACCAAGTAATTAACTGCACCACAGCAGCCAAGCACTTTAACCACTGTGCCACCAGGGCTCCTAACCCACCAGCCACTCCTTGGAAGTAAGGTTGGGCAATCTACTTCCATAGTGATACTGCCTTGGAAACCCAAGGAGGGGTTGCTGTGAGTCAGATCCGACTCCATGGCAGTGGTTGCGGTTTTATTTTACCTGAAAAAAGTGATGTCATGATTGCTGACTCCACACTCTGGCTGTTACATCTTACCTGGTGCCCCATCCCTGGAGGATGGCAGGAGGCGTGCTCAGAATGGGGAGTGTGAGGGGAGGCTGGGAGGCTGGCTGTGCTTTTCTACTACCTCCTGAGATTGAAGGAAGAAGTCCTTGGCAAGTGCTTAGAATGGAACCTTTGTTCTTCTTGTTGCTGTTGATTGTAATATATTAATCAACATTATTGTAATGGTAAAAACCTCTAGTAAACTAACTTTAATCTGATCTGTACTGCTTTCTAGGTGCCCTAAAGGACCTGGAGACTCAGCACCAAGCAGCCCTCCAGCAATTGCGGGAGGAGTTACAGTCTCAGCATTGCCAGTACTTAGAAGAACTGGAGCTGAAATGCAGAGAAAAGGAAGAAGCAAAACAGCTTGAGGTAGGCAAAGCTTATTCTCGTTTAATTATATTAGAGAAGTTTGAAAAGATTTTGGAATTGGGCCATTTCATAGTCTGTTATTAGCTAAAACTTAAGTACTGAATTCAAAGAGACACTCAGCTTCTGGTACATCTGATAGACGAGAATACAAGGATACAGACACATTAGCAGTATGGCCTGTGAGCTGATGCAGTGTTGATGTTCACACTTGTGCTCAGAGAACGAATGTCTTTTACAAGTGTCCATGAGATATTTACAAAAATTTCAAACATTGGACTGTAAAGCCACAATCTCTGACCAGAGTTCAGTTAACAAGGAATTCCTAAGAGAAGTTAACCAGAAATATTTCCGCTGTCATTTATTCAAAATGCTTTCCTGGGAAAAACATTACCTATTAAAATAAAAGTTTGTGTTATGGCCAGATCTGCACTCAGACCTAAAGTGCTTTTATTACTGAACCCAACAGTCAAACAGTGACTCAAGCATTCAGTCTAAGAATGAAAAGAAAATTGAAAAGAAAAAGGAGTTTGGGGATGGAATCAATGGTGGTATGTACACAAACTCACAGATTTGTGAAAATGTACTTGGCCAGAATTCAGGAGGGACCTAACGATGAACGCAGCCATGGGTCTCCCTTCTTCCAGCTCTAGTGCTCTGCAATTTGTTTCTTGTTGGCCAACATACGGGTTTTGTGCTTTTAAAACTTACTTTGCTTTGGACTTGTTGGAACAGTTTTCAAATATCTAGTGAATTCCAGTCCTTATGCCAACGAGTGCTTTTGAAGGGACAACGATAACTCGACAGTGACTCTCAGATCCACTTGGGGTGTGTAGTGCTGGGCAGATCCCTCAAAGGAGTGAACATTTGCAGCTGGTCATGCCCAGGAGTCTAGCAAAGTGTGTGCACCAGGCTGTGACTCCATGGCCTGCCCTGCTCCTGGGCTCTGCTGTGGTGAGAGAGCACCACTGGGTACACTCATTCCAGGGGCAGACACAGAGCATACTCACACGAGGGGTGGGGACAAGGTGCACCCACGTGAAGGGTGTGCCTGTGAGCCAAAAAAACTTAGACTCCTTGGCAACTTTGCTGCCCCTGCATGAGTCACATGTGTTTACAACAAGTGCAGACTCATAGGTCTACAGGTGACAGACTCAAGAGTCTGTGATGTTGGGGGATATGGGCAAAAGTGCAAACAATGTCTGTTTGTGTGTACGTGTATGTGCAGAAGCCTTAGTGCATAGCTTAACGGGCCATGTTTTCTAAACTCTCTTGAACAAAAAGTTTCACTTTAAGCAAACAAACCCAAAATCACTATTATTATTTTTAAGTGCTCTGCTTCTTAGAATGGTTAGAGATGTCAGAGAACCTAACTCCAACCTATACTTGACTCTGCATCTCAGAGGTTTTGTTGTCTCAGGTCTGTGATGCTTGAACCATTCTTCTTGCTGTTGTTGATGGTTAGGTCACAGGTTTAGGATCTGAGCCTTATTCCACATGTGTTCCTTTTCATGCCTGTTATATGAGGGCACCCCAAGGTATTTACCAGAGAGATAAGCACAAATATATATGTCGTTGCTTCCTGGGTATTCCATCTAATGAAGCTTTTCACAATCATGCTTTCCATTTTAATAGTTAGAGCATCTTCAAGCATCATACGAAGAGTTGAAGGCTCAGTCACAAGAGGAGATCAAGCACCTGTGGTCCCAGCTTGATTCTACGAGACCCGATGGACAGGAAGGGAGGGGTGAGGAGTTTTATTTTGACAATTCAAATTCTTAAGAGCTATCATTATGTCTTTCCCATTGTTGAAACACCAAATTGGGATTTTCCAAAGGTGGGACTCCCTCTCCCTCCATTGTGGAGCACCTTTGAGGACCAGAGTCTCACCCTCCTCCACATCAGAGTGGTCTGTGCAGCCTCAGGACATGGTGGGTTGCAGGTGATATGAAGTGAAGCAGCACAGATCATTTTGAGCCGGGCACAGCCAGGTGTGGTTTAGGTTCCATATCTTGATATGGGGAGCTTCAAACTAAGCCTCTAAACCTAACTGTTATGCTTACTGGGCAAGTGGAATAAATAACAAAAAGAGAGTCATAAGGCAGGGATGGAAGCAAGGCAGTATCTGAGTTGCATATCTGTCTGCTGCGGTAGTCAGTGCAACCCATCACCATCTTTGGCTCTGCCCTGCCCTGCAATAGGAGTTTCTATCAGTGTCTTACCCTGTGGATCCAGACTTCCTGTCCCAGGGATGCTGTGAGGGTAGAAGCTGGGAGAGACCATAGGCAGTAAGGGGAGGCAGCCTCGGCTGATTAGTAGGTTGTCAACAGAGGCCGAGGTAACTTGAAGACACTGTCCACATGTCATCTCAGTGCTAACAGACCCCCACTGGAACCTTCATCCTCATATTTGAGAACCCTTAGGAGCTCCAGTAGTGTAGTGCCTAAAGCACCTGACTGCTAACCAGAAGCCTGGAGGTTCAAACCCACCAGCCACTCCTCGGAAGGAAAATGGGGCAATCTACTTCTGTAGTGATACTGCCTTGGAAACCCAAGGAGGGATTGCTATGAGTTGGGTCCGACTTGACGATGCATAACAACAACAACAACATGGAAACTTAGATTTGAAATCTCTGGATGACCAACCAGTCAAGTCCGTGTTATTTGAAAGCTAATGACTAATTATTGTAAACTAGCTGGCAGCATTCTGGTGATAAAAATAGCCATGGTGAGGGTCAAGCTGTGCTCTGGTCTGTATTCAACTTAGCACCTTTTTTTAAAAATTTTTTTACTGTGACTTGGGTGAAAACTTACAGAGCAAATTCACTTTCCATACAGTAGTTCACATACATTTTGTCTCATGACATTGACTACAATTTATCCCAATGCAACAGCTCCCCTCCCACTTCCCCCTGATAGTTACCTCTTCCCTGTATCCATCCTTCCATGCACTCCTGGCCTCTGAGCTGTCTTCCTGTGCATAAATAGCCCTTGTTTCTCCCATGATTGTTCTCTCCAAGGAGTGTGTCTACCTTGGGTAAATGTTCAACTTGTATGCTTGTGTTTTGTTTGGTCAACTTAGCACCTTAATACAACACTCTTTTGCTAGCTCACACATCTGTAGGTTAGAGTCTGAGATGTCATGGCTGGGCTCTCTGCTCTGGTCTCAGGCTGAAATCAGGGTGTTGGCCAGTGGACTCCTTGTCTTGGGCCTCTGCAGGAATACACGTCTAGGCTTGTTCATGCTTTTGGCCGGATTTGGTTCCATGGGCTGGGCTTGAGGCCCTGTGTCCCTGATGACTATTGGCTAGGGATCACTCTCAGCTCCTGAGACTGCTCCAGGTACTTGCCACATGGCCCCCTCCGTAGCTTTTCATGATCTGTGAGTGCTCCTCATGCCTTGAATCTCCCTGCCTTCTCCTCTTGCCACCAGCCAGAGAAGTGCTCTGTTTCTAGAGCACGTGGGTTGTGTTCACCCCATTCTTTCCTGTTTGCCATGAACCATCTCTTATGGGCTATGTCATGCAGCCTAGTTACAAGGGGGCCCTCATTGCGGTTACAATCTCGGGACTTGGGTGTGGAAATCTCAGGGCCACTTTTGGAATTCTGCCCTCCATATCCCTGGGGCTGAGTTGTTGGATAATGTTGAGTTGACTCCAACTCATGGTGAACCCATGTGTCAGAGTGAAACTGCTCCTCAGGGTTTTCTTGGCTATAATCTTCATGGGAGTAGATCACCAGGACTTCCACAGAGCTAATGTGTGGGTGGATTTGAACCGCCCACCTCTTGCTTATTAGTCAAGTACTTGACCATTGTACCACTAGGTCCCCTTAGGGCCTGAAATAACTCCTGATTTTTCACAAGTATTTTGTTTTAAAATAATGACGTACTTTCATCTTATTAAAGAGTTACATGAGCAGCTCCTGGTTCCAGCATGTCACATGGAAGAATTAGAGCAGTTGAAGCGAGACTTTGAACAACAGCAGCAACGAGATAAAACTGAACATGAGACTGACCTGGAACAGTTGAGGATTTATTTTGAAAAGAAATTAAGGGATGCTGAAAAAAACTACCAAGAAGATCTAAATGTGTTACAGCAACGGCTACAGGAGGTGAAAGAAGATTCTTTTCTGGATTATGCAGAAATCAGGTAAACAAAACGATTTTTCCTCTTACATGTGTATTTGATATAGGAACATTGAGCTGAATTCAGATCTCATTTCTTTTGTGATATCATGCCAGTAGAGACCAACAGCCTTTGCTTTTATGTTTATGTAGAAGTGGTTTTCTTCAGTTGGCACTTGAAGTAAAGATGAATATAAATAGGATCTGAGTTTCTGACACATGTGACTGATCCTGCAGTTTCTGTGTGTCATGCTTCGGGACTTCCAGGGAACTGTGGATGCAGAATCTGGGACCCAGCATGTTCCAGGAGTGTGTTCACCTTTGCCAGGACACTTTGTGGGGTTTAGTTTGGAATCGGCCCTAGTTATTGCCCACAAAGGCAACTGACTCAGCCAGGTCACTGTCCTCTCATCAACATAGAGCAGGCTGATGATAGATGGGCTTGGAAGGATTTTCTCCTTTGAAATAGGTGCATTCCCAGGACAGAGCAGTGGTGAATGTAAAATGCTAAACTTGTGTTTTCTTTCATAGTTCATCCAGTATATTTATAGAAGAGACAGCTGAAAAGGAAAGGAAAGAACACCTTGACCAACTTAAACTTCAGCTTGAGCAACACGAGGTGATGGGCCATTTTTTTTTTTTTAATCATTGAGAAAAGTTGAGTTTTACTGAGATTTAACAATCTGAATTTCATCCTTTTTACCCATCAAGTAGAGGAAATCTTGCTTTTATATCTTGCATATACCTTTGATGGTTAGCGCATTGCATTGTCATCTGTTTGCGTATTTGTTAGGAGATAGCTACTCTAAGGCATCAATCAGTAGGAACAATTTGTGGTCCTGTTTTCTGTGTTTTCCCTAGCCTGCTGGCCATCTTCCTTGAGTTGCCTCCACACTGTTTATTTCTATAATTTTTAATCCTAAAATCAGTGCCATCCAAGCAGTTTCCTGTGATGATGGACAAGTTCTCTGTGCTGTCCAGCATGAGCACATGAGATGCAGTTGGTGTGACTGAAGAACTGAAACTTTAATTTTACTTGATTGTAATTAAAATGAATATAAGTCACCATGCTCATCTAGTGGCTGCTATGCTGGATAATGCAGTTCCTGTAGAGTATGATGATCTTATACCTGGGGGTATAAGCACCATCTCTTATTTTACGTATTTGTTGCCCATGGCCATTGAAGTTATTTCTAATTTGCATTGTTAATATCTATTTATCTGTCTTATGAATATCTGACTGTTTCTTAGAGACAATTTCATATGTTCATGATTTTCACTCCTCCCAGGCTTGCTCCGTGAGCTGAGCTGGACCCGACTGAGGCCTGTGCAGCCAGAGCAGTCACAGCTCCCGGCCCTGAATGGAGCAGCTGCTGTGGCCATGGGCTGGGCTGGGTTTTGTATTCTTTTAAATTTTATTTTTTAATTTAATATAGTGAAGTGGACTTTTTTTTGGTGTATAGTTCTGTAAGTTTTAGCATACCCATTGATTCATGTAATCTCCATCAGTCAGGAACAGAACAGCTCCAGTACCCACCAACTGCTCTCTTACTGTCCCTCTGTAGTCACCCCTCCTCCCCCACATAGTCCTTAGCAACCACTCATCTGTTCTCTATCACTATAGTTTTTTTTTTCTGAGAAGGTCATATAAATGGAATATATGGTATGCAGACTTTTGAGACTGTCGTCTTCTACTCAGTGTAATTTTCATGTATTCAGCAAAGTTGTTGCATGTGTCCATAATTCCTTTTATCTTGTATCCAGTAACTGCTGAATTTACTTACTAGTTCTAGGAGTACTTTTTGTAGATTCCTTGAGATTTTCCACATAGACAATGTATGTCATCTACAAATAGGGACTACTTTGTTTCTTACTTTCTGATCTGTGTGCCTTTTATATACATACAGCATAGGTGAGAATTTCCAGCTTTATGTTAAGTAAATATGGTGAAAGTGGACATCCTAGCCTTGTTCTGATTTTAGGAATCAAGTTTAACCCTAAAGTGTAAATGGCAAGCTTTTGTAGATGCTGTTCATAAAATTGAAGATATTCCTTCTATTCCTATTTTTTACCATGAATGAGTGTTGAATTTTGTCAAATGTCTTTTCTGTGTCTATTGATATGAACATTTTTTTTCTTTAGCCTTTGATATGGTATATTACATTGATTAATTTTTGAATATTAAACCAGCCCTGCATCCTGAAATAAACCCTATTTGGCCATGGTATATATTACATTTATATATTGTTGGATTATATTTGCTGGTATTTTGTTGAGGATTTTTAAAACTATATTCATGAGGGATATTGGCTCGTAGTTTTCTGTTTTTGTCATTTCTCTGCCTTTAACAGGATAATGTTGTTGTTGTTGTTAAGTGCCGTCGAGTCGTTTCCGACTCATAGCGACCCCATGCACAGCAGAACGAAACACTGCCCGATCCTGCACCAGCCCCACAATCCCTGCTATACTCGAGCCCATCATCGCAGCCACTGTATCAATCCATCTCGTTGAAGGCCTCCCCCTCTTT